TTTTTTTTTTTTATTTTTTTTTTTTTTTTTTTTTTTTTTTTTTTTTTTTTTCTTCAAGTAATAGTACATCGTTTTTCTTACCGAGGGCGCAAAGTTACGCGCCGGAATGGTACACGAGATGTATACCCGAAAGATTTAGTTATTTTTCAACCATTTTTTCCATCATCGAAAAAGGAGAAAAAGTAAATCAACTTACAGGGAGCATATACGGCTCGATCTTTTCCTCAAACCCCTCGACCGATTTGCCGGGATCTTCTGTTCTGAGACACAAAAATAGTTTTTTTTTTTTTTTTTTTTTTTTTTTTTTTCCTTCTTGAAATTAGTTTGAACCTAACGCAAAGAAAAACCTCAAAAAGCATCAAACACGTTTCACGCCAGCTCTATACATGTTACATAGTTATTGGTATAAGCATCACACCAGTTGGGCCATCACCGGCTCGACGTCAACGCTGCGCATATGATTCCACGACAGCGTGAGTCGTTGCGAAAATCGTATCGCCATGTCTAACGAGCAAATCAATCAACACAGCCTCGGGCGTCACACATCAGACAAAGAGAGCAAAAGCGCGTCAGCGACAAAAGCATCAAAACAACGTATCATTGATCGCGCGCATGGCCAAACCAAGAGGGAGGGAGCAGCGGGTTTCAATTGCACAGGGTGACGGAAGATCGGGCGAAAAAAAAAAAAAAAAAAAAAAAAAAAAACACACAAGCCGGGCCATTCATCGGCGACCCTCCTAAAATTAGCCATCGGCCTTTGAAAACCTCGTTTTAATAGGCGCGGACCTCGCGCCGCGCGACCATGACTCGGGCGCGTCGCGGTCGCCGTTAAACGTCCGTCAGGGGTATAACGACCAATCTTCTCGCCTTGCGATTTTGTAAACCGCGCGGATTCAGGCCAACCCTCCCCGGCACGTCATTCGCACGTTGCGCGAAAATAAAGCGCGCGCGTGATTTTTGATCGGCCGCTCGAAGGGCCGACGATACCGAGTCTCCGGAGAGGCGAGGAATTCGACGGGCCGTGTGGAACTGGGGCACGAGGGGGCCTCTGCCAATAGTCGCTTCTTGCCGATTTTTACGATCGCGAATACTCGCTGTACATGCGCGTGGTGTCAACACGTTGGGCGCGAAATTATAATCCTCGGGCTAATATTAGGCCCTTGGGGTTCAATCTATTTCCGAGCGTAATAACGTCGCAATTGTCATTACCTCGAAAGTCGGTCCCAGCCGAAGACGACGGCGCTCTCTGATTCTGGGTTAGCTATTTGTGCATGAGGCCGTTGCCACATGTTGCCGATCCCCACCTCCCTTATCTTTTTTTTACTTAAAATTTTGCTCTCACTTGGTTTCTTGGCAGCGCCGGTTTTGCGACAAAATTGCGCAGAGTTGAATGGCTTGTTCGCGTCGCCAAGGGAGGGAGGGGCATCGCCGGGTCCGAAAAAGTTTGTTTACCCGCGGATTTTATTTTCGACCTCCCGATCGAGCGACTCTTTCTTGTTTCTTTGTCTCGTCTTTGATCGCGTGTAGTCGGTCCGAGATATCGTGGTGAACCTTTTTTATTTAGTACGAATAATTATTTCCTCTGCACAAGTCACCGGGAACGCCTGGGCAATTGAGAGCAACAGGCCTTATATTTTTTTTNAAGTCTACCACGATGTACAAACGAGGCAAAAATTTTTTTTAAATTAAAAAAAAAAAAAAATATTTTGCTTACTGTTGATTAAAAGTACTATCGCACACTTTTTTCTTGGCATCCGCAGGTTTTGGGAAAAGTTTCCTTGAATTTACGCTGTTTCAAAAAGTTTGAAAAAAATGAAAAGTCATAAAATATTTTTCTCGATATAACTAAAAAAAAATTTTCATCATAATTTTTAAAGCAAAAGTAATTAGATTACAATTAAATTCGCAACATGATAGAGTTGAACAGGAATCGGCTCAGCTGTTGCTTGTTTCGTTATTCAATTATCCAGGTAATGCACCCCGACACGAAATATGCATTTTCCCCTAAATGATATTTCGGAATCTTGTTTTCCCTCGTAAATTTTCGTACCTCAGCTTTAGCCAGTCAGCAAATAATAAACTTAAAGATTTATTGTCTCCCCGTAGCTACTTGTTATATTTTCCGCGCGTACACGAGGATTTTGGAGCGAGTCTCGATAAAAATCATAAAAATTTAAATACACAAATCTCCACTTGATTTAAATACTTCCAATGATTTATTGCTTCTATCACTTATTTACTCCAACGGGATGCAATTGAGAGGCGTTTTTAGTGGCTACTTTGTTTACCTCGCGGTCACATAGTTTATCGCTACGTGGAACCTAGCATAGATCAAATTTTTGGCAAATGAGCCACTGCTGACATTGATGGGTAAAAACAAGTACTATATATATGAAAAAAATAATTATTTGACACATAAGTACCGTTTCGCATGAGATGAGTAAAAAAATCCAAAGAAATCACACATTGAGCAAAATGATGGAAATTACGAGTAATATTACCATGTTATACGATAATTTTTGTCATATAAATCGTGATATTTCCTGCTATCCTAAAAATATGGTACTTTTTATATACAGACACTTTTTTCATCGACCCCACAAAATGTAATGCTCATCACGCAGGAATAGATATGTTTTTCGTAAATACTGAATCTAACGAAATTAAAAAAAAGGGGGGGTAGGGGTATGTAAAGCATCCTTACCTTCGGACTCCAAAAACAAAGTTGTTCCCAGCGAGGGTGAGCGCCTCGTGGGCTTGTCCGTGGGTCAACTCGTCGACCGGCTGATCGTTGAGCTTGACGATAATGTCGCCAACCTTCAAGCCCATGCATTCTGCGAGACCTCCCTCGGTTACCTGAAATTTTTTGTCTTACGGTGTGTGTGGCCGCACTACTTTTCCTTTCCACGCCTCATCGCGACAGTCATCGATTGAGACACAATTTTTTTTTTTTTTTTCTTTTTTTTTCAAGTGCCAATTTCATATTTACCCTAATGACGGTAAGGGGTTGCGGGAAGTCGCTGCCTCCCGCCAGACGAAAGCCCCATGGCCGGTTGTCGAATTTCGTAAATTTAACGTCGAGGGTCGCCATAACGCTCTACATCTATGTACAAAAGCCCACAACATGTTGTTGTTGTTGTTTTTTTTTTTTTTTTTTTCACCACTCGCGTTGCCTTACACACTACATACTTTTTCTCTTGTTATTGTTATTGGTGATCATCGCGGGTGTTATTCAAGAATGTTTTGTCTTTCAAGCAACACGACAGTCACGATTGCACTTTTATGTACAATTATTATGTACAATAGACATAAGCTCGACTGATCGTCAATACTGTATATAGGTATACCGACACGCTTCGCTCATCTCGTAGATATACAATTTCATTGGCATATCGTCGGTGCAATGTTACGCACATTTTTCACGTACACCCATGTGCATGTAATATATACACCTTTTTTTGGAAATCCGGAAAACCGGCGAAAAAGCCGTACAGGATGAGAGTTAAAAATAATTTTACACGCGCTCAAGAATAGAACGTTGCACCGATCGCCTGCAAAACCGTCCCCGAGAGCCGCATTGCGTAACACCGGGGTCCGCATAACGAAAGGGGCGCCCGTAGAAAAACGACGAGTATACCTGTAGAGCAGCCGGCGAATTTCCCCCTCGCTCGGTTGACGCAGTAACAAACGGCGTCCTGCCATTTGGATCATTTGATATTATTGTTTTTTTTGTTTTTTTTTTTTGTTTTTTTCTCAACCGTATAATGCCGGTTTCCCTCCTTCGCGCGAAAACAAAAGATCCCCCGGACGAAAAGACCGGCGCCTTCGGGTTCGCGCGCGCGCCGCGAAAAGAAACCAGAGCAGAGGGATCCGATATAATTATAGAAAAGCCCCCCCAGTTTCCGAATAGCCCCAGCTGCATCGCTTTTTGGACCTCGCGACACCTGCTTCTTTCCTTCCTCCCCGTTCTCTCGGCTAGATTTTCGCGGTGCGCCGAAAAAGAGATACTTTTTCCACGCTTGTTGCGGCTAGATGGACCTTTCGCTCGTCGACATCGATCTACAAAAAACACTGATTATAGAGCAAACAAAGCAAAAAAAAAAAAACTCTATGCGTACCTAATACGATAATATATGCAAAAGCGAGAGGAGGGTGTTTTAGCCGATCACGTAAGCGTGGCACACTTTGATGACGAAAATCGTCGAAACGTCAACAGTATAGGCCCGTCTGTGACACGGGATGTTTTTTGTTATCTTCGGAAGCCACAGAACGAGCTTGCGGTGAATTGCGTGAAGCGAATGCAAGCGCGGCCTGTTTGCCGCAGTGCAAATAAAAAAAAAATTTTAAAAAGCAACGTAGCGAAAGCGTACATCAAATGAGCGAAGGTGAAGGTAAAACAAAAAAAAAAAAAAAAAAAAAAAAAAAAAAAAAANAATTTATTTGAAAATGTTACTAAATTATATAAAAGCGGTCTTATAAAACCCTATAATTTAATCTGCACTTTTTGATCTGTCGATATGTAGATTAGTCATAAATTTATCCGATTGTTTATTTACAACTAATTCAAGATCTAAAAATATTCCTTGCTGTGCGTTATCTATTTGGAAACTGATAAGAACATTTTATAAGTACCTGCGCAGTTAGTTTTAATTGCAACTTTTAACCGAAGATATTAATAAAATTTTAACAATGATGGGATACGAAAAGTGTAATTCCTAATTAAATATTGTTTTTACCAAATTACTCAAAATAACATTGATAATAAAATTTAATTCAGATTCACAGTGTTTTCTTTAATACTCAATGGCAAGGAGTTGATTTTGTTTATCTTGCAAATAATTGTGAGGAAATAATTTTTTCCTCAATACTTTTTTACAGCGCAGCGATTAACAAAACTTAACAGCATAAGACAATGCTTCGCAAACGCAAGCGATTAGTTTGCCATTAAACACATACAGCTACACAAATTTTTGTTCCAGCAACTTTTTCGACCTTTGAATTAACTCCCCAATGCTTTCCGAGACAATTTTTTTGTACACCGAGTTACGTTGCATGTAATCCAAAATCACATCCGAGCGGTCCATGAACATGAACTTGATGTAATTGTCCGAATCCTTGGTCCATTCCGCGCATAAACTGCTGTCCAAAAGTATAACCGGGCAATAAACGACCGAAGACACGACCCCAAAGATCCTCATGTCCTCGTATTCGCGGACAATTTCTTCGAACGAAGGCCTACTCACCTCCTCGTCGTTCGCCATCAGTGTCGCGCAAAAGACTTGGTGGTAGTGCCCCAAGAGTCCCTCTTCGTTTGCCTCGCGAACCGTTTTTTCCATAGTCAAGTAAAACAATTGCGCCAAGTCCGCGGTTGGAGGCACGTAGCGTATCGTCTGGAAATCTACCAACCGGCAACGCGGAAGGGGCTGGGACTCGTCGAACAACAAATTGTTGGACCACTGGTCGCCGTGGCAAACGACGTTCCGCCACTTTTTCGAAGCCACTAGAGCCTCGAAAATCTTTTGGCACACCTTGGGCACGCAGGTGTGGTCCAAGCCCAGGCTCTTGGCCACGGTAGCGGCCGCTTGAATCCCGTTTTTGAACCACAAGTTGTGCAGCCTGCCCTTCTCCGCGAAAAGCATCTCGGTGAACACGTCCGGGTACAGCTCGAAAAAGCTCTTGCCCATTCGTTTCTCGGCCAGCACCGATGCCGCGTGCATCTTCCCCAGCGCCGTCAGGGCGGACTTCAACGTTGCTGTGTCCAAGGGCTTGTCCCTCATGACGAAGTTCATCGACTTGAGATCCTCCATCAGTAGAACGTTGTCCTTGATGAGGTAGCACCGTGGCACCCACGACGCGTCTTTGATGCTTTTTACCAGTTCGGGCACCATGTACTCGTAAAAATGGGCTTCCTTGTAGAAGGCTCGGCTCTCCTCGATGACGGACGCTTGCTCCTCCAGCTCGTAAGGTATGCCTTTCAAAAAAAAGGTGCATACCTCCTTGTGGCCGTTTTCTCGCTCGACCGTAACAATGAGTTGCTGGTGAGTTCCCATGAAACCGATTTTTTCCATTGAATAAGATCTTAGGTGGTGATCAACTAGTCTCGTTGAAGGTCCGAAGACGCGCTTGACTACGAGTTCTACATCTTGTTTGCTCACATTATCTCCCGATCGTTTGACTTTTTGTTTGTCAATCGGATCATCAACGGTGGTGTATTCGCTAGTCGTGTGGTCCGTTACTAAGGTGGCAGTCGCCATGCTCACTCGGATCTTCAACTTTAAAATGCTCCTTCTGATAAGTCTCCGCATATTTATAGTGAGTGTAAATCGTGTTCCACTTTTTTTTTTTTTTTTTTTTTTTTTTATCTTCAATCGCCACAAAGCTCAAAGGAATGAATTTTATTTATACATTTCATCGCCGATACAGAGTACACACTTGGAAAATCATGCGCGAGTTTCTCGAGTACAGTGAAATATTACGAGCTGCAAATAACCAACCCGAGCTTTTTTATTACACGCGAATACTTGGAATCGCTGAAAATAGGCTACATGTACTCCGTCTCTACGACAGACGAGCTCTAGACAAAAACATTGTACATGTATACACGTGTGACGCATGTTTTGTTTTTTTTTTTTTCACACGTCGATACATATATATATATACGTAAAATATGATGTAGTTTATGGTGCACGCACGCGGAACAATACAGAGTTGCCGTGACAAGTAGAGCAAAAACGATTGTCATTGAAAGAGTAAAGAGTATCCTCAATCGTGAAATATGCGCCGCGCCTCTTCGAAAAGCTCCTCGAGAATGTCCCTGATTTTCTCCTCGTAGGCAGGATCCGCGTCCATGGTAGCCCCGATGACGGTCATCCGATCGGCGAAGAACCACTTCTCCAACTCACCAGCGTCGTTGAGCAGCCTCGCGAAATCCTCGGGTCTGAGGTAGATGCCGGGCAAGTAGAGCGCCGCGTATATCATACCGATCAGCCTCAGCTGCCTGTAGTCCTCGACGAGGTCCCCGTACTCTGGAACAACAGCCCCAACGCCGGAGCGTAGCACCGCGTCCCGCAGAGCCGAGTAGTAATGGTCGAACAACTCGAACTCGAACTTCCGCCTGAAGGCCGGTGTCGTGTGCAGGTACACGAGCATACCGAGGTCGCAGGCAGGCGAGGCGTACCGCAGCAATTGAAAGTCCACGAGCAGACACTTGGGCGCAGAGCCGGTCTCGCTGAATAGCAGGTTGTTCTTCCAAAGGTCGCTGTGGCACGAGACGTTGCACCTGCCCTCCCGGTACCTCACGCTCTCGCGCCCCAGCTCGTACATCTTCCCAATCAGATGGTCCTTCCCCCCGATGCCCAGTTTCTTGGCCATCAGACCTATCGTCTCGAAGCCCACCAGCGTGCACTTTCCGAACTTGTTGGTCCTCGAGTACATCTTTTCCGCGAAAGCGGTGGGATACGCCTCCCGGAGGCTCTTGCCGATCTTCGCCTCGGTGGCGATGGAGGCCGCGTGGAACCTGGCCAGGGCCGACAGGGACGACCGCAAAAAGTCCATCTCGTCGAGGGGCAGGTCTTCACGGGCGCGGTACCCCTGGGCGCGCAGGTCCTCGAACACGAGCACGTCGCCCTTTATGAGGTAGCACTGGGGCGACCACTTGGTGCCGCAGCTCGCCATCGCGGGCTGGATCTCCTTGTAGAAGTGGATCTCCTCGAGGAAGGTTTCGGGGTCCATCACGTCGTTCCGGATGGTGTCCGACTCGGGGGGCGATTTGACGAAAAACGTGCAAGCTTTCGCCTTGCCGACGAGCTTGGACTCGACCTTTACGGTCAGCAGCTGGTGGTTGCCGAAGATGCCGTTTTTTTGTTTGGCAAAGGACTCGAGGTGGTACTCGAGCACCTCGTAGTTGGGTCCGAGGGAACAGGCGACCGCGGCCCCCACGTCTTCCTTGGTCAGAGCTGACATGGTCGACTTTGGCGTGTTCGCGCGGTGTCTCGTGGCGAAAGATGAATCTTCAAGGAAGCTCGTTGTGGTCGATGATTGTTTGACTTGCGACTGATTTCCTTCTTTTTTTTCATAGCAAGATTTATCATCGTGCACTTTTGTGGAGTGAAAACGAGAGAATTACCGCGGGTAAGATTACGCACTTTTTACGCTTTGGATAAAAAAAAAAAACGTTCGTAAATCAACAATACCGTGGTAAATATTTGAATGGAGGAGATATCGTTCGAGACGCGAGCTGATATTGAAGCGCATAGCAAATAGAGGAATCTTGAACGAGTATCAGTCGACACTTGGTGCCTTTTGTTTTTTAAAAACTTCCGTGCGAACGGGAGGACAAAAAAATCCAAGTTGTAAATTATTTCGAACAATCTCTTGCGCAACAAGAGAATAGACGAATGCAGCGACTTGTATTGTTATTTGTGAACATTTATTTTAAATTTAGCGTACTACAACTTGTTTTACTACAAAAGTAGGTAACAACAATCCTATTATAGATTATAAAGTAGTGGAGTTACAATTGTAAAAATTCTTGCGATCTCCGAATCAATTCCATGGTTATTTCCGTGATGATTTCGTTGAAATATTGATCTTCCTTCATGGTATCCAAGACTAACTTTACTCGATTTCCAAACAAAAGCTGGTTGAATCCGTCGGAAGTGCTCGTCAACTCGGCACATCTTTTTCCATCCAAATGTTGCGTTGGAAAGTACAAATTTGCCGTGACTACTCCCACGACTCTCATGTCCGTGAATTCTTGCAGGATCTCTTGGAAGGTTGGCAATGCGATTTCCGCATCGTTTTCCCTCAAATTGGTGCAAAAGACCTCGTGGTAGTGTTTCAACAACTCTGTCTCGTACCTTTCACGGAACTCCCGTCTCGTGGCCAAGTACAGCATCTGCGAGACGTCAACCATGGCAGGGCAGTAACGCAACAGCTGGAAGTCAACGATCACGCATTTGGGTACCGCGCACGAGTTGTCGAACATCAGGTTGAAGGACTTGAGGTCACCGTGGCAAACAACGTTGCGCCACTTTTCGGAGGCTTTGAACTTTTCAAAGGCCTTATCACAGATCTGAGGAATCTTGGTGGCGTCGAACCCGAAGTGTGTCACCAAATTGCACGCCAAATCAACGCCAGATTGATACCAAGCAAAAAACTTGACTTTTTTGTCGAATAAACTTTCTTTCACCAATTCCGGGTACAATTCGTTGAAAGTTTTGCCTAGTCGTTTTTCCGCCAGCACTGACGACGCGTGTAGATTTGCCAACGCAGTCAGACCCGATTTGAAGCCTTGGAGGTCCAGAAAATGATCCTTTAGAGCGAAATTCTTCGATTTCAGATCTTCAAATATCAGGACGTCATCTTTCACCAGGTAGCACTGAGCTATCCACGATTTGTCCTTGACGCTGCCGAGGAGTTCGGCCACCATGTGCTTGTAAAAGTGTGTTTCCTTGAAAAAAGCTCTGCAGTCTTCGATGACGGACGCTTGAATTTCGATGTCGTAGGGCACAGATTTTACGAAAAAGGTGTGGATTTCTTTTTCTTCGGTATCGTCTCGGCGAATGGTCACCACGAGATGACGATGAGACCCCAAAAAACCAAGCTTCTCTTCGGAATAGCTTCTAAGTTGGAAATTCACGATTTTCGCGTTGCAACCCAAGGCCCGCTTTACCACTACTTTGACGTCTTCTTCGGTAACTGGGTCCGCGAAAGGCTTTCCCTTGGTGGTATTTTTTGATTCTTGCATTGTAGAAGCTACTGTGCAATTTGTGTTGTCACAATGCAAGCTGATCGGTAAATGACTCCTATATGCGCATTGTATTTCATTTTTATCCTTTTGAAAGTAACCTTTGGTGTCTGCCTATTGGCTTTTCAATTTAATTTTCACAATTCGTGGGATGTAAATCAGTTAAATACAAGATAAAAAAGTTATTATCTTCGCATTAGGTAAGAATGACACTGTTAAAAAACTCAAACAAAAGATTGACATAAGGATTTCGTATACATAAATCACGAGAATTGTGTGAATGTGTTTGATAGTGGCAATAAAAAATTTCCAAAAACTTTAAATATCTCTATTAACATAACAAAATCATTATTCTGTTAATTTCATAACATAAAAAACGAAACATGGACAGTAAAAAAACGACTGAAAGACACCATGGAAGAACGGACAACATTACTTCATTCAAGTCATGTTGTAAGAATAAATAGCAACAGAAATTTCCACAGGTAGAGTCGTGGTAAGATAACCAGTAGAGAAAGGATTATAGAAAAAGCAACAATAGGAGACAAAGGTTAAGGAAATAGAAAAAGAAGTTGAAACTGGACCGAAGTGGCACAGGGTAAAGAGAAATCGTGTATATGTATTCATTTGGCTATGAATCATTCGAATCCTTATGCTATTTAATAATAATCATTTATTTATCGAAAAAAAGTATTCATTTTATTCAGAACAATATATTTTAGATTTTTCGTATTGACATACATTGTCTAAATTTTTCAATTATTTCTATAGTTATCTCAACCATTATTTCGTTGTAATTTGTATCGTTTCTCATGGTGTTTCCACACTAATTCAACGCAATTTTCAAAGTAAAAGTTAATGTATCTGTGCAAGTCCATTGACAATTCGACACATCTCCTTCCTTCCAAGGGAAAAGTTAGAAAAAATATACTAGCAGTTACCATTCGAACAATCTTCATTTCCATTTACTTTAGAAAATACGTGTAAATTTGACAATGTACGATCAAAGCAGACTTTGTATCCCATCGACTAATAAATGCCCTTTTGAAGAAAATGTTTTGAATTTAAGATATTTTCATACCATCAAATTATCCATAATTGAGTGACGTTGTGCTAGCCATATTATGTATCCTTCATATTTTCCATTAGTACGGTGACAATTTGTTTGTCACGTTAGTTTCCTTGAAAAAAGTTCTGAAATATTGTATCGTCGCAGGGTATTGTTTTAATCAAAAAGTTGTGAATCTCTTTCCTACTATAATTTTAGTTTTTTTTTTTTTTTTTTTATATAAAATCCTCTTTACATAAGCTATTAATAAAACACTTGAGGTACAATATGTATTCATAGAAGGGATCCAAAAAAGTTCGACCTCAGTTTTTTGGTAGCGATGCTCTTCTCGTTGAACTTGTAGGTGGAAAACGAGCGGCCGCAGATAGTAGAAGAGAGCACTGACTTCACTTTTCGTTATCCTGTTTTAATTTTTTATATCTTGATGTCTGGAGTGAAATGAAACAAAAATTAAAAGTGTACTTTGGCGAAATGATATTTTATTTTAGACTCAATCATGTTACTGCAGTTTCATCGACTACGCACTAGCTTTTCTTTCCTTTGAAGAAGGAAAAAATGTAAAAATTTTTTTTTTCAATGGGTAGTATTTAAATAGTAACCTGTGGTTAAATGACCTTACTGAATTTTATTGTGTATGAGGTAATCTTATGCCATAAAATTCGCATTAATAAAAAAAGAATTTTAATCAGCGATATCTTGAAAATATTTACAAACTTAAAAACCTGACGCTCCGTCGTAATTGAATACTGTATAACCTGCCTTCTGATCAACGTCAGTTTTAAAAACAATAAAAACAGTTGAATGAAAAAAAATAGATTTTAATTTTGGTCTATAAATTAATGGGATACACGCGAACAATTGCTCCTTAAAAAAAAAAAAAAAAAATTAAATGAATTCAAAGTAAAAGCATACAGGGTAGAGAG